CCTACTGAATAATACCTCAATAGTAATAATGGCTTTTCCACGACACCATCTACGTCTAAATAAGCAAAAATTATGTTGAATCACATCAAACTGCAGTTGAGTTTATTCATTTTTTTCAAATACATCCGAAATTATTTATCTAATTTTATTTAATTGGTTGATCTACAAAACATTTGCATTAAATAGCTACCTATAGACGTAGATGCGATCCCATGCGTAATTTTAATTAACGTTGTGGCACAGTGCACTTGCACTAATCTTGTAGCAGCCGGATGGAGCCCTAGAAGCCAGGAAACATCGGATTTTTATGCGTCTCTGCATGCCAACACCTAATATATATTTTTATTTTTTTTATATTACTATTTCATGACCACTTCCATTACCTTTGCTTTTGCGCATGACACGTGTGGCTGTTGATCACAGGTCGCCAGGAAACTAGTCATGATGGAGCAGGATCTCGAGCGTGCCGAAGAGAAGGCCGAGCTTTCCGAATCGTAAGTGCAATCACACGCATGTGTTCGCCATGTCCCTTTTCCTTCATGTGCAGCACTATGCAACTCCTTTGTCGTTCGCTCGTTATATCGTTCAGAAGTTAAAATTACTGACAAACGGTGCAATAAATTAAAATGTATAGGCAGAACAATTTTTATATACTGTACATTAAAAAATTTCTTATTGGTACAAAGACTCGATAAAAATATAATGTTTTTTATACTAAGATAAATCTTTTTCTTTATGAACTTCACCTCATACATCATTCTCAAATAACTTCTAGTATTACCTAAAAAATATAAAATGTTGTATACAAAAATATTGAAAACGTTTGTCTGTAATTTTTAATATTGTTTCCTTTACAATTCATAAACTTCAATATTAAATGGCTAATTAATTTTACAGCAAGATTGTCGAGCTTGAAGAAGAATTGCGTGTCGTCGGCAATAACTTGAAGTCCCTCGAGGTCTCCGAGGAAAAGGTAAATGATTTATTTTACGCCCCATGTACAGCGCAATCAGAACGAAACATAATTCCGTGGATCATATCGCCTCCCCAATTCTCATTTTATATTATAAAGATTTTCTTAATCACCAATTAACTCGTGTCTAAAATGCCGGAAAATATTATGAATAAGAAAGTGCATTATACCGTTTTTTCTATAATACCCAATTTAATTGTAAATCATAAATTATGTCGATGAAAGTATATGCTAATAATTGGATCGAGCATTAATTTTGAAACGAGTACCTTCTCTTAAACGTTCTGAGGTATTTTATAGCCGGTATGTTTCGGAGAAAATTATCGTTAAATCATCGTATAAGAAATAATATTTACGTAATTGTACGTAGGCCAACCAGCGCGAGGAGGAATACAAGAACCAAATTAAGACCCTTACCACCCGTCTAAAGGAGGTACACATCCTTTGGGAGTGTCTTGCTTTGCATTTTCTAACGTGTGATCCATCCTCGCGTCGTAGGTCTTGCCACTAAAATATTAACTCGCGTGCCCCTGTCGTTTTGCATCTGACCCCATTATTTTAGAAGTAACTAAACAGTGTTTTCTGCGTTGCGGTGAACTAACGAAAGCTCGTTTTGTCTTTTTGTTGTGCTTGATTAAACACAGGCGACGCAACGAGAGGAGACGTTCGAGGGCCAGGTGAAGATTCTCGATAGTCAATTAAAAGAGGTAGGTAAAAGCGAAGGATTAAGATTACCACGGATTAAGATACTTTGAAATATGTATCAGAAATTTCCACATTTATTTCGATTATATTAATCATCTACTATTAAAATGTAGAAAAATATAAAATTAATGTTTTGAATAATGTTCGAAAATAAAACGATACTTAAATATGATAAATAATTACAAAAGAAATTAATTTAATTTTTGTATTTGTACGTGAGGTATAAAACTATTTTACAAAAAGAACGCCAGAAATTTTTGAGGCCTGTATAAATACCTAGAAATATAAAGTTCCATAGATCGCATCACGAGGTACAACAAATGCAAATGTGTCGAAGTACTTATCGTAAGTTTCTCTTTTTCATTGAGCGTGTTGTCCGAAAAAGAGAGAGTGAAGCATTGTTCTCGATAAAAGCATATTAATCGTGCAATAAAGTGTTGCAACTAAACTTTCAAGGCCTAGATTCAGATACATAGCGTAGTTGCAGTCATGTGTGACGTGGAAATTGTTTTACTTGCATGGCGTGAAGCATTGATAATTATAATTAATTATCTCAACGATTTCAAAAAAAGCAGAACGACCATAATCTTGCTGATTATATCTCTGTTTCATGCAATTATTAAAACGATCCCATAAGATAAGATAATTAAAACGGACAATTTCTTGCTCTGTTTTTCTTTTTCTTGAAATCTATAGATAATTTCACTTAAAGTATAATTTTCTGACTGACAAAGTATTGCGTTTTCGCAGGCTGAAGCACGCGCCGAGTTTGCGGAGAGATCCGTGCAGAAACTCCAGAAGGAAGTTGACAGGCTCGAAGGTGCGTATACGGCAAAAATAGAATACGTACACGTTGATATATTATTATCATTCTTTTCAATAACACGATTTATTTGAATTCAAGTAAATTTTTTAAATAAATGCGTCGACGTGTGTTAGTATAGATATTTTATCTCAGATAAACCATTATTTTACAATATGAATTGAATTTCTTATCAAGCGGAAAGAGAGAAAGAATTCAAGGAAAAGTTTTTGTAGTGATATTGAGAACGATTAGAAATCATTTCTACTTAAGCACCTAGGTTCCTATAAAGAATCGATGCTGTGCACACAAAAGGTTTGAATTCCTGATAACAGATGTTATAAATAAAGCAATACCGAAGAAAGTAATTATTACGATAATCACTGCTTATATTTTAATCTTTTTTTGAGAGATTAGAGAAATTGCTAAGAATGTTTCTAACCAGAAAGCTTAAGTTGAAGTGGTTAAATCAAATTTTGAGAATTTATTCTAATCAATTTTCCTAATTATAATATATAGGAACATTCCTAATTATTATACAATATATAGGAACACAATGATTCGACAATCGTAAAGCAAACCCCATTTTTTCACCCTGTGTGGATATATATATATATATGTGTGTGTGTGTGCGCCGTATTTTATTTGCGCATTTACCCATCTAACCGCCGAAACGCAGTGTGTTACGCGTGTGGCTTGCCGTGTGTTACTTCCCTTTAACCAGTGATCTTTGCAGACGACCTCGCGGCCGAGAGAGAGAAAAACAAATTGCTACAGGAGGAGATGGAGGCCACCCTGCATGACATCCAGAACATGTAAATCGTGTTTTTCGCGGTGGACGGAAACGCATATAACGCGAGAACGTTTGTAGAGAGCGAGAGAACATCCGAAAGGGAGATAGATATAGGGGAAAAAAGAACAAAAGAAAAACAAACGGAAGCAAATAGCAGAACGGCGGCAACGAGAAGTGAATGAGAGAAACAAATACGCCGTTACGGCGCGAGCGCTTCGTGGTGCACACCTTACATTTAACGAATAAAAATGCAGTCTTTAGGCTAGCCTTATACCCTCCATTACGTCCATCCGCGTGTACGTATTATGCGTGCTTGTATGTGCTCAAGCGTGTATGTGTGTGTATACGTGTGTCGTGCGTATTGCGTGTCTATTTGTATGCACGTGACGCAAGACAGACTGATGTAAGATGAGAGGAAGTGTAGAAAATGTGTATGTATGCGTGTGAGGAAGAGTAAGGAAGATACAGAACGAAAGGATCGGTACGACAGAGAGAACGAGAGAGAGAGAGAGAGAGAGAGAGAGAGGAAGGATGTAAAAGATAGAAAAAGGAGGAAGAACGAGGAGGAATAAGTAATACGCGACAAGGACAGACGGCAGAATAGTTCCGTACATAATATGAAGTTACTTGTAATCGAAATCTGACTTTTTTAGCTTTAGATTTTAGCTTAGTCTGCCTTTAAATTTTAATTTGAGAAAAATTGAGGCATGGTTGCGACGGGTTTGAGGCGTCTTCGAGCTCGCTGCGATTTGAATTCGTTATACGAAAACAATTACTGGCCGTGGGAGGAATACGTGAGTAGGGATTAGAGACAAAAAAAATGAAAGAAACGGAGACGAGACGGATCGGATTGTTTGTACCGAGAGAAGAAGTTCGATGGGAAATTTGAAATCAATTTTATGCGTCAAAGACGTTCAAATATGATCTATTATATAATTATAATATTGTAATTAATATATAATTATATAGTAAACTACGCTCGACTCGTCTGATACCTGAAGTCAGGCTCCTTCTCCCCATTAAAGATAAACGATTATTGAGTAATCTTTTAGAAGTGACTTATGAAAATTTTTTTATCCTTTAATTGATTCGCTCAGTCGAGCATTTCATCGAATTTGCGCGTGCTTCTCTCGGTACAATACGCGTAGCAGGACTGTATATAATGGAGGGACACAGAGTGTTCATTTACTTTTCGCATCATTTTACATTCCGCATTCCACGCGGCTCAGCTCGCGCGAGAAGAGATTCGTCAGTTTCTTTCGTCTGTCAGCGAGATTATGTCGCGTCGCGTTATCTTCTCATTGCCGCCGATGAAAGCAAAGACGATAATGAATGCAATAATCGTGCATTTAAGAGGATTCCACTGCCAAGCCCTCCCAGAAATTTTTCTAAAAATATATATTTTCGTAGTACGTCTTTGTCTTCGTTGTGCAATATTCAATCAAACAATTACGATTATATCACCAACGTAGTATTGCCAGAATTCAAAGCCCTTTTTTTTCCTCGTAGTACGAAATAATCGAGAATTATCTGGCCTATGGCAAGACACATATGCGTGTATCACGTTTACAGAGTGGTTTAACTTCGAGCCTACGAAAAATTGATCGTAATACTTAAGATACAAACAGGGAAGCAACTGGCTATTTTGTCCATGCCGCAACACAGCTTCCCGTGCTAGCTGAGTCATTCTGATATTTTTTTACCGATCGTGCCTGTATATATTTACAATATAAATACTAAACCACGGCCAACGTCAAACCTCGATGCAGGGAACGTGCTTCGTTTCGAAACGTAACAGCGAATGAGAGATCCGGAAATATAATGATCGATCGTCGAAATAACGCATATCCGATATTCCACTTCGCGGCGCTTGGTTCGCCACGAATTATTATTACTATTACTAGATATTAATTGATACAGTTGTCGTTAATGTTACTGCTATTTCACGCTCGTCATCGAGCATCGGCTAATTCCGTGGAGAAATTTTTTCTTCCAATCTTTTTTTCTTTCTATTGAAAAAAAAAAAGCGTAATTTATGTCGCGTGTACTGCCCCGACCTCGATGTCGTAATCCATCACGGTTATTCTTGTAGCACTTTTCCTGCAACATATTCTTGGATGGCCTTTTGATGTAGGAATGTGCATCGTCCTCTTCCCGTTCCGATATATAAATGCATGTATATTATCATCGCTCTCATGATCATTTGAGCAATCATAAAGCTAACGATGAACTTAATAGAATAGATCGAATATATTTCAGGATTGACGACTCCTGACGACGAAAAAATATAAACGTTTTGCCTTTCATATAAAGGCTTTAATTTTAATAATTAGCTTTTTATATAGTTTGTTAACATCGCGTTGATTTGTATTGTACAAATCGATATTTGGTTGATACAGTTGTAGTGTCAACATAGTAAGCGTATTAATTGTTACGTGACTTATGATCACGTATGATATCAATATCCACGTTGTTGGTCAAATAATGTCGGAAATTCGGACTATTTTGAATTGTGTGTATCTCATAAACGTTATATCTTTATGCATGCGAAGATGACGATGAACCGATTCAAAATGGAGTATAGCATATACGTTATCGAAAGGCCACCCGGAAATATCGCGACCGTTTGTTCTCTAATTTAACGCCGCCACGAGCAAGCGTTATTTAAAAATCAGGAAAGTAATCGCGAAAAGCACAACCACGAGACTTACCTACATGTCCTATCGTTGATTTTTGTTAGCCACAATTCTTTTCTTTCTGAATAATACTAAAAATTACGGAAAACGCAGATACTTGAGTTTAAGAGAGAGTTTTAGTTTATTAATTTACTTAATATTAATAAAATGAATGGAACGATAATAACACTAATATCATTGTAATAATAATTGATTATTATATATTGCTATTATTATAAAACTGTTTATAATATATATTTTAATTTTGAAAAAAGAGTGTGTTTGTTTTTGTTTGTGTCGTTATTCTTTTCTGTTTTTTTTTTACCTGCGCTAACATTAATCCTTTACCGTTAACATAACGACGTATAACTACTGTTTAACGCGATAACACTGTGATCGCCTTGTTGTTAGACAGTCTCATAACAAAATGCATGATGAAGGAAGAAAGTGTGGTACGTATATCTTATATTTACGGTGAGTAAATCTGCTTAATCCGATTTTGCTATTTAAAATGCATGACAAATCTCCCTATTTACAATATCGAAACTTCACGATTGTCTCTTATTTATCATGAAATAATTATTTTATAGATATAAAGATTTTTTAGTTTGATTTATTGGCGCAATCATACTGATACAAAATTATATTAATGATATTTTATCATAAAAAGGAATCATTTTCATGAGTAACATGTCTAATTGTCAAAACACACTTAGAAGAATACATGAAAAAAGTTATTACCGTAAAGTTAAAAATAGCATAGATATAAATTATTACCATAATAATATAATTATTAATATAGAGTTAAGAGAATAGAATATAAGGTACAAATTATATCTAACAAAAGGAATTTAGCGAACATGGCGATAATAGGAATAATCGAAGAATCATCTTTAGCCGCACGCGTTAAAATTCGTGTTACTTATCTAAACGTATTGAGCATTTAATTTAAATTCAATTATTTTCACCGCTATCCTACTTGGCCGATCCACAATACCTGCCTCTAGCGCGGTATTAACAATATTAAACACTTTTCATCTCTTCGACACTTCTTTTCCTCGAGCACCTTACACGCCACGCAGTAGACGAAGTCTCTCTAACTAATTAACGGCTATCTATAACGTTGCGAATGCTTGCAGATGAGATGGTGACCGAAAAGGAGAAATTCAAGGAGGTCGGGGACGGCCTGGATAATGCGTTCTTCGAGCTCTATGGCGTGTAACGCGGCTACTAACCATTCTCCTAACGCTTCGACACAAAAAAAAATACCGAAAGCCTTTCTTACAAATCTAGCTTGCGCTTAACACATCTTCCGTAAGTTACCTGCCTACGCTTTTTTAACCCGCTCTCGTTGCTGAAACCACAGCTTCCCGACCGCGAGCGCCTTTTAAAAGAATCCTTTCCAAACGGTCGTGCAAAAATTTCTATATACCTTCTTTTCACCCCGCTTAAAATCAAACATTCCATGTATACGCGATAATTAACGAAGGATCGAAGTTCATGATATCATTTAATTTTATCTTATCTCAAAGTTCACGCAAATTATCAATGCACCTAATTCATATCAAACGTATCAAAGTACAACCGACGAGGATATGGTATAGCCGAATGCGTTCTCTAACGACGCTACGTTTTCTTGCAGACGAGCTCGTCCACGAAAAGGAGAAGTACAAATACATCTGCGACGACCTGGACCTCACCTTCACCGAATTGGTTGGTTAAATCGGCTGTCCGAATATCCGCGTCCGCTGTCGAATTAATTGGGCCGTTAATCGAATTATCGACATCGTGCGGTTCGATCGCGGTCGAGTCACGGCCGTCCGACGCGCGTATTACTTTCGTCATCGTAACTAAAATCAATGTACTATAAATACGTTCCGCGTTCAATATACTCTACTTTTTTCTATTTATCAACGACCCCACTACCGGATCTTTCGTGCACAGAGCAGCCACTGAGCCGCGATTATTTAATTATTTATTTCGAAAACGCCGCTTAGATCGAAATTACAATTGCAATCAAAAAACGATTTCTAGCGCAGAGTTCTAATTGCATTACGCTGCTTCGGTAATTGAACGTGCGGTAAGTAGAGCAAAAAGAAAAGTACAGCACACATCCGACTTTCTGTACGTGTCACTAATAAAATGTTATTGAATTCTGAAAGTATATCCTCTTGATAATCTTTCCGTCAAATAAGTAGCTCTCGCGATTTAAAATTGTCGAAAAGCTGTACAAGACCACTTTTGTTTCTAATACTTCAGAAAATAGGATAAATAAAATACCTATATAGAATCTGACGTGCTGTTTTGCTTTCTTTCATACCCGAAACACCCTGTTCCTTAACGAGGTAAAATGGACTGCGAGACATTTATTTCTGAAAATATTTTTCCAAATATGTATGTGTATATATATTGGCTTCAATCTTATACTTTATTTTCCGGACCGAAAAGCCAATGCTATTTCTCAGGTTTTAGGTAACAGGACCTCTATCCAGCTACAAGCATAAATTTTCCTTCATCCTACTCTTTAAGTCGCTTTAACGGACGTAATGATCGTCCAATCTCAAAACGTCGACCACGAAGATTGTGTGCTCTTTGCGTTCTTTCTTTCTCTTTCCAATTAAAAAAATTTATATTAAAATGTACATCCGATTAACCATCGTACCGTCCACTAATACCACGTTTTCCCTCCCTTCTCGTTGCAGACGTGCTGGTTAACGAGCGCTGTAAATACAAAGCGATCGCCGACGAGATGGATCAGACGTTCGCCGACCTCGCCGGATATTAGCAGGCAGGCTAAAATGCGTATGACTGGGGGTGTTGCGGGGGAAAGAAAAAAAAACGAGAGAAAAAAGAAAGAAAGAAAGAAACGGTTCGTTCACGCTATGACAAAACGACACTGCCAGCACGCGGACTCTTCGCCACACGTCGTCTCGTCCGAGCATTACATTAGCATTCTACACAGTATTCGCTGGAGGAAAGTCGAGGACGAGGAGGATGAGATTGCTGACATTTAGCGTTAACCGCGCGTGGCTTAACCGTTAAGCCGAGTTTTTCGCTGAAGGCGAACCGTCATGCGTTCTACATTCCTTCGGCTCGATCGAAATCTACGTTTGAGCAGGCTCGTCCAGCGTCATTTTGTAAAGTTTTACATAGAAATTGCCTCGGGAACGAAATCTTTTTCGAACGGCGGTAAGATCGTATAAAGAAAAAAAAATTGCGAGTCCGAAAAACACTCTCTTTCGGAAGCAAAAATATATACGTACTCTTCCAATACCTGGCACGAATTTCCCATTCAATGACGGCGATGATTTATTGCAGCATCGGTTCTGTTACCTGCGCCTGGTATCCCTGCACACCAAGGTGTCTTATCTTATCCCTCACGTCCAATAAATTGCATTATTTCCGTCGAGATCTGTACGCGCAGTATTAGCCCCTAAATTCGCGTAGCTTCTCATATCTGTAACGGCATTAGTTGTTAAGAAACTCGTTGCGAGATATATTATTTTCATCTTGCTCAACCGCACAATTTACGCTGGATATTGCCAAAAGTCGCGCTGTTTCATTAACAAATGTGTACGGGCCGAAAAAACGTTTGCTCGAAAGTTAGATTTTGCCCACGCTCATTTTAAGTCCATATGGCCTTGAATATAACATCCTACACAACATTCATTGCGACAAGTGTGTTCAGGGCACACTTATATAAGCAGGAAATTAAACTAAACTGTACAAATCTCTTTCGACGTAATTACACCAATTTGCATCTGTCGTAAAAACACAAGTCTAAAAAGATAGCTAATAAATAACACCGATACAATTAACATCTAATACGAATAACTGACAAACATTTCCTGCTTATAACATTTCCATCTATGTTCAAGAAGCAGCGCTAACATTCATCATTAACCATGAATCTTCTTTATATTTGCACATTCCACCGTACAATTAGACAGTGCGGTCTAATTAGTCAGGCTAACGCTTAAGTTTCTTTCCATTACTTATTAAGGAGTACCCATGTATCATCCATATTTTCAAGCCACGCTTCTATGTTGTATCGTGCAGTATTGTGTCAAAAATTATGATGAATTACCGATTGACTTGCTGAAATATCTCGTTTTAACGGAAAGAGATATAGTGTTCATTATAGCATACAATACAAAGTTGCTTCTATGATGTATTAGAAAGGTTTGCAAAGTAATCTGGGTTGGATTATGACATATGACAGAAATGAAATCTAACAAAGATAGAACGATATTACAAATGTGACAAATGTACGCTTGAAATGATCGAATTGCGAGGTCGAGCAAGTTCGATACATCCACGGCTCTCTCGGCAACATACCTTAATGCTGAAAAATGGTATATCTTAGTCTTTAATCTTTTCCAATGTTAATTCAGCGGTTTCACGCATGATCACGCAAGTTACCGGGATTGACGATAAATCTTGTGATGGACCAAGCTCAGAGACTTTCAAACATGCACTTGATGCAGCGAATCTTGACTATCTTATGTGATAATTATCATTTTATTGTATTTATATTACTTTCAATAAATATGCATATTTTATATCTCTGCATACTAAATGTTTTTACTCGATTTTGCAATCTCGTTACGTTAAGAATTGTTTGGCTATAAACGTTGTTTCACAGTTAATTGAATTCGCGATCATCTGTTACGTGGCTGAGTATTGATTGCTTTGCGATAACGCTGAATGCCAACGGCATCAATGGAATTTGCAATGTCTCTTCAAATAGTATTAAATACTCTACCATCGTCGTGATATTAAAACTTAGCGCGTGGTAATGTCAAGATAGATGCTCTTTTAATATCCAAAGAAAAATATAAACATAGTATTATTAGAAAAATAAATATAAGAACAGTCATTCGTTAAACTCTGTGAAGAAACAATAATGTTTATCTCTCTTAACATAATGTTTATCTTAATGAAACAACACATTTATATATAAACAAAAGGATCCTTCTTTGCGAATATCAAGTTTATGACTAAATAGGTATGTGCGAATGAAAATAAATTATATATATATACTGTGATAAAAAACGATGTACATGCATCTTTGCGACTTGTTTTTTCAGAAGACTAGGAATTTTCATAATGAAGAAAGGAATTTCATCGATAAAAGAAGATAGAAAAGGGATGCAGTATTTGAGCGTGCAATTACTAAAAAAAAAAAAAAAAATAATGAACCATAGATTTACATAACATACATATTCATTATTTATGATTTGCTATGATAATATAATATTTGTCTAAACACAACGCTAACATATATTTCTGTACCTTGCAATTAAAATATGAAATCCTCTTATCAGCGAGCTAATAATTACAAGAGTGCTGAATAACATGTTTCCAAAAATATCATTCTCTTCGTTTATAAATGAGGTCGAACGACATCGCGTGTGACTCGCAGATAACGAATTACTTATAACTTTTACATGGTTCGTTAATCTGTACAGTTCCATCGGACATCGTTCCACAATATAATCTGCCTATTCAGGTAAATGGGATGTAGATACATTTCTGAGGAACCAGTTTGATATTAATTTAAACACGCAATAACAAGGCACTAAGAAACACCCCGTGGTGGTAAACACGACATTTTATCAAGGATCAATTTATAGGCATGATTATCGCCAAAGTAGAAAAATCTTAGAAAATTAGTTGTCATGTTAGCCAATACGATTAATATTGCATAAAATTTTAAATTACAATTAAAAAGTGCTCGACATTAAGATAAACTAGATATCAATTGATTTTCGATAAAATCTCATGTTCGGTAACCTCAGAATCGTCAACCAAATAATATAATTACAACAATGTAAATGGAATTTTGGAGAGAAATGCGAAGCATATATGTGGACCATACAAAATAAAACTTAAGAACTATATAATAAAATATGGGTTAATTAATTTATATTTAGATCGTTAATTAATTGAAAATCAGTAACGGTACCTAACAATAATTTTCATATTTTATCAAAAAGGAAGGCAAGTGTCAGCATCTTTAGCGTCAATAATATTATGTTTCTTATTATTTCAATCTGCTTTATCTTTAAGGGAAGAGGTAGAGGATTATATCAATTAATTTTTTTACATCAAATTAAACTACATTAAATCGGCAAGTAAAAATTTGTTGATATTTCTTTGAATATCCTATTCCGATACACTTTCGTATAATTTACATTATGATAAAAAATCCATACCGCTACTAATTAGCAGTCTATACGTATAAGGCACATTGCATTATTTCTTTTCGAATATAAGAGAAGATTTCGTCCTACGTTTCGTTCAGAAAAAAGTTTGGATATTATAACTAAAATATTATTTTGTGAAAAGTATTTCCGAAAAAGTAAAAGAAAAGAAGAGATAATATATTATTATAAAAAACAAGAATATAGTACTACTTATAAATGCAAAATGGTCGGAAATATAAAAATCTATCTAATTGATGTGTTAGTCAGAGTTTATATCGAATAACAAGTAACATAAAATTCTCGTCAATAAAAATAATGATTAACAAAAAAAGGTCCGTAAAGTCAACTGTCAACTGAACCAAATTAATGTTCTTTCTTGATATTTATATTTTAATCGTATAATTTAAATTCTAAAAAACATATCGAAACGGAGGAATGATATAACTGTGGCTAAGAGTAAAAAAATAAAAGTGACGCTTTAAAACTGCATTGCAGAAGAAATATCTTATACTTAATTCTTCTTAATTGTTGGTCAAGGCTTGTGTCGCTTCACAGTTGTTTAAAATTTTAATTGCAATAGGCATAATTTATTGCAGTTATGTAAAGTTTGGTCCCATCATGGAATTCTAATATACGAAACTTTGTCATCTAGTAGTCAAGTTATACTCAACTTGTGGATACTCAAGACGTACGTACGTCTTCGGACATTTATAAAACTGATTTTGGTGTTTATTCTCATAGATCTGTTTCTTTTATCAATATAATATAGCAAAATATTGTGAAATACTCAACTTTATCCAAACAGACATCATGGACAAGTTGATATCAAGATAGAAAAGTAATCAAATTTATATCAAAGCTCAAATTTATATCAAGATTTTTCGTGAAACACTTTAATAGATATCTGATTATCTGATTTTCTAAGATGACAGTTTGCCGTTTCGATCAAACATATTATCTCGGCCGAGTAACAAGAGGCGAGTAGAAGCGTTATCTCGAGTATTGTATCACGTAAATTTTTTTAACATTATCTCTTTCTTCGGGTGGCTTCTCAAAGCGCCCTAATTTAAGCACTCTAATCGAAATGGCGGCCAACAATTAGCGAATGAAAGCTCGACCTGAAAAATATTTAAATCTGCGCCGGTTCGACATAATTAGCGGGTAGCATGCCGTGTCGTCCCGTACGCTGCACCAGTCCAGTCATCCAACCCTCGTCTACGGCTGTGCAATTGACGATCAAATCACCGTCGCAGAAGCTCACCTCGTCGAGATCTTGCGCCTCGTAGTCATACATCGCTCTGTACACTCTCTGCGGAAAAAAAACATCGTTATAGAAAACAGAGATTCGTAAAACTGCATATTCATTTTACATATTATACATTTAAAAACCTACTTTTTGCCAATATTTTATACTATTTTGGTCCCAATTGTTTAAAAAACTTATTTAAAAGTTTATTTTGTAACAGTCTAAATTCTTTCCATGAAATGTATTCCTTTCATGTATTAGTAGACATGTAAGCTTTATATCGCGTAACAAATAAGTTACAAAAGACAACACAATGCGACAATAGGCAATAAAAAAGATATTTACTCCAACGTTGGAGGGCGGTGGCGGTGATTGATGTTGATGCTGAGGTTGATGTTGATTATTGTTTATCGTTGTGGCCGGCGTTAACGATCCGTAATATTCGTTCACTGGGTCGATGTCAGCAACCGAGCCGATTTTTCGTGTCGGTGGATTCGTTACTGCAAACGCGTCGTATTTTTAATATTTTATGTGCGACGTATAACACAAATGACGTTCTACATTTGTATACGCTACGGTAAAAATTCTTAATTCGTTCCGTAACCATCCTCTTGTCCTCCAGTTAGTAACAATTGTTATTTGACGCGATCCTGCGATCTACCACATGAATAATTCCGTGGGTTTGAGCGAGGAGGGAACACGGAACCACAGAATGAGGAACATTAAACAAAGGCGCGATTACACTTTCTATTTTCCCAACAAGGTGCACGCGGCAATGTCGCAACGATTAATTCCAGTGCAAATTGCTTCGACGATTTGTCTTTGTGATGAATCGCGTGTGACAACGATAAAGGCGTAATGATGCAAGTATACGAGCGTTTAAGTCTGAGGAGACAATAAAACTTTGGGCGACATCACGATCGTAATATATATAAGTCTGGCGTTATACAATAGGAATAGTTAAGCGTTTGTCTTCCGTAAAAGAATAATCCGATTAAAGCACGATCTATTAAAACCAATTACGCGTGGACGCGGGTTCCGTTTCACACGATCGTAAAATAGTCGCAGAATGCGATCTCGCGGTAAAAAAATATATCATTAAAATTCTTCCTTCGTTGATCTTTCGCGAATCTTAATTATTGGGACACAGCCGTGAATACATAATTCCGATACAGCTACGAATGTATAATCGTCCGTGGACATAAATAACACAAATCCCAAGTATCGATCGTAACATTAATCGCATTAGAATTCAAAAGTAATAATGTAATCAAAAGTAATAATGTTACATATTAAATATGCAAATCGCATTCGTTTGTTATCTCAAGCCAAGACTTTTGTTATCTCATTACTTCGTTCTGCATACGTTACGTTATATAATTCACGAAATAATAATATTAATATTATAGAATATTAATTATAGAAATTAATATTATATTATAGAATGTTATTGATTTCTTACTACAAATCACATTAAAATTAACGCAATTATTCTCCGCTATAACTCTGTCATGCAACTTCTTTACACAGCGAAAGATTGCTGCAGCGATTGCAGCCGCGAAGGCGAAGGTAAACGCACCTGGTCCCTTGTCGCTCGTATAAATGACAGTGGTGGCAGCTTGCCTTGCGGAATAGGGACTCGGCCTCGCTTCGCTAAGGGGATCGTAATCGGCGATCCTACCTGGTGTCCTCTGTACCGGCGAATTCGCCGTCCTTGCAGGCGGCGGATTGGCGTTTATGCTCGACGCAGGTGCAATCGTACCGTCTGTGTACTCTACGTACTCTATATCAACAATGTACGAAAGAAAGGCTAGCGATACGTTCAACAAGAAGCGATCTGCGATCTGCCCACCACGAACGGTATGGCGAGTGACGTGATGACTAATGAATCATGAAGATGGACACAAAAATGATAAGGGTCCGTCTGAATTTTGTCTGATTTTCACGCCGTTTTGGTGGATGGATTGCAGCAATACGTGTGTATTATACTTAATGTATAAACAACTTTAAATGAAATGCAAACCATATATTAGTATACATAACGAATCCACAAATATTGATGCGTACATATAATGTATAATCTGCAATTTAATGATTACATAGATACCGTTTACGTAAATCGTCGTTAATCAACAGTTGAGATGTTAAAAGTTAAACATGTGATATTATTATATATGATTAAAATCATAGGTATATGTATGATTACTGATAGAGAATGATCTAAGACGAAAAGTTATATAACTTATTAAAAGAATTGTATAAGTTGTAAAATACACTGATATATATAAAAATAAAAAAAAGATATTCCCAACCGTTTAATCAAATTACAGATTATGTTTTAATCAATGACATTTTCCCAAAGCTAATTCAAAAATCACGCGACAAACTTTGCCATAGCAAGCTTATGATCTTTTTAAGCTTGTGACAGTAAGTTTTTTACACGCTTATTTGTTACAGTCTAAAACGATACAATAAAATATCCGAAACAAAAACGTATGGTTATATTTCCCATTATTTTATTACATCTTTTTAAACTAAAAAAAAACACACGAAGTAGTAATAGAAAGAAAACATTTATATATACACGCAAACGCACCGTTGAAAAGTTCTTACCTATTTGCTCGCCATTTTCTCCGGTCATTGTCCTCTTTTGCTCCATGATCGCCTTCTTCTCAAGTTCGCCGTGATAAGCGACATTTGAGATAATCTTACTGTTCTGCTTGATTCTGAGAGTCTCCGGATCGTCCGCCACTTGCGTAAACTTCCCCTTCGCCTTCTCGAACTCGGCGTGATACTTGACGTTACTCTGTATCTTCGTGTTCTCCGCGATACGCTTCAGCTCCGGTGTCTCCGCCATCGTGGTGGCTTTGGCTTTTGGTATGTGTCTACCGAGAAAGATAAGAACTTTGTCACTGACAAGGAACGACGTTGCTGCGAGAAATTATCTGACCAACACTAAAGAGCGCGGGGGTATACATTTGCGGTACATTTAAACCTGTCGGACAAGAGCTGCAAGTCACTTTGAGTTTAAAGCACCGTTTCGGTACACCCGGTATGTCGTACTTCACATGAGTTTCAGTTTCGCGTTTCTTTCTCTCTCTCTCTCTTTCTCTTTAGCGAGAATACCTCACATATACGAGCTTCTCGCATTATTTTACATGGATTCCCCCAGGGCGACCTCCTACACAAAGGAAACGTGGAAGTGCGCTGACTAATGCAAGTTACAAGTGAACGACAAGCGGTCAACGACGTCAGTCTTATCGTGAGCATCCTTCGTGCAGCACGTCGATTATGATAGCTAATTATAGGCGCGAGGAGAAAAATAGCATAAAGCGGATTTATATGTTCGTCGACGTCACGGTTACGCGATTGAGTTCAAAAATTCGTATTTCCTACATCACGTAATGCGTGCAACACGCTTAACGTGTTCCTCGCACACGTGATAACATGATAACGTGATACTTGCATTTTTTGCTATCATCGCTACTCTACGAAACAGTATTATCTGCACCTGCATAAAAATTTACGGAAATTAAACGCATGAAATTTATATAACTGATTATGTATGTGGCCTTTTTTTTTTGCTAGAAAGTTTTAAACTAGTTAATCTTTTTTTTAGGGAGGATAAATTTTGGTTTTAAAAACTTTAATCTATTATTATCCGTATAAGTAAAATATTACGTTTTTCATTTGATATCGTTTAGTATTTTAACATTAATTATAATAGTAACACGTATCTATACATTAAAATAAAATATTGTAGAAATGATAAGAAATATCTAATTGTGACAACAATTTTAAATTATTGCGCGACAAGTAATTATTATTTAGACGATTTGATATTCTGGACAAACAATGCGTGTCCGAACACGTTGTAATTATAAGAACTTATTAATTAGGCAGGTAAGAGGTATAATACGATATATTCTGAAGCTGCCGCGCGATTAACATATCCTGGCGAATTGAGCGTGCGCACAAACGAGCTATTTTAAGCGGATAATTCGCCTCACATGCGTAAAACGTTTTTTGTCGTACACGACGCGTGTTAACGTAAAATAAAGATAATTATTAATTGACCAGCAACCGGGTGAGCCGAGTGAAATTCGATAGAAACCTTTCTAACCGGGCACTCGACTGCTTTAATCGCGACACAGGTAACTGTCCGGTACTTACTTAACGAGATAGAAATCGGCGCGCGAACGCATAACGATATATACTTACGTGCAATAAATGACACGCGTGAGAATGCAATTTCAGTAACACGCGTGAACGTATCGACAGTATCGTATTGCGATCCGCATTAAAAATGCCGGTGCTGGCGCAATTAAGGAAACGCTTTGCATTGTGTTGATAATTGAAATGTCCGGTACGTTAACCCGTTACCTGTTATAACTTTCTATCACGTTTCATGTGCTAAACTCATTTGTTTGGGTAAACGTAAAACTTTTAATTTTTAATTAATTATTTATATAAGAATACTATTTTTTGTTATAAATTAAATAAAACTGCGAGACTGCTTTTTCTTCTTAAATAAATATATAATATAATCTTAATGACTGCATCTTTCGCGGTGCTAATCAATCGTATTCTTGGATCGTGCGTGTAAAACAATTGTCGAAAGTAATTTGTATAAATCGCACGTAATAACGTACGAGTATTAACTGACTTTGTGTCTGGCGTATACGCGCGAGGCGCAATCGAGATTTGTGTCACGACTTCGTTTTCCATATACGGCGCGTTGTCTGACCCGGTAATTGTGCCACGCCATTACGTAATACTCCGGCGCACCGTGCACGAATAATAAGGCATGCACTCTGACTCTCTTTGTTCGGAGAAGACGAGGGATAGTTCATTGTTACGTGCTCGGCGAGCAAGAATTATCCTGTCGACCGATGCGCATCCGAGTTCCTCGAATTTAGCGTGGAAAAAAGAGGAGGCCCGCTAAAACTAACGTTGAGAACGACCGCGGACGAAGGAAAATTGGAAAACAATATACGGCCCGCATCTTCTCGTGTGACTTCTGTTGCACGTTTCCAATTGTTATACGGCAGATACAGGTATAATAACATAATAAGTAGATATGATAAAAGAGATAACAATAATACGCAACTCGCAATTTTTCAGATAATCTAATCGAGATAAAGATATGATAGAATTAGAATAAAAAAATTATAAAGATCGGCTAACACAGGACAAAACGGCGTGAGCCTCTAAATGTCAAATATCTCTACATTATCATCACATTTAATAAAGAACAAGATTTTTGCAAGAATTATTTATTCATAAAATATTAAAAATAAAAATTAGCTAACTTAATTTACACGTCTAAATAATCCTAAAAATCGAACAATTTTTTTTTTCAAGGCTTTTAACAAATCTACAAATATATATACGTGCAATGTACATAATCAATTTTTTTTTCCTCAGAGATCCACGGACTATCACATTGTTCACGATTAATACGCAACGAAGTGATTCATCGAATCATTTAACTACATATATATGTATGCGCGATGACTAATCTCTTAACAAACGCTTGTCTACGTACTATGATATACGTCCGTAATATTTATCGAATTTTTCTGACGCACTCAGGGTGTATCTTAAGCGGAAAATGTGGGAGTTTTAATGCCAATACACAACATATGGCGCGAGTAAAATAACGCGAAGCATTTCATCCGAGTGTAGATGATTAAATCACTCGTAGAGTCATGACGCATCTGATACGCAATACACCGAGTATTCATTTAAGAAAAGATCCGTAATCTTATTTGAATACGTATAGTCGTGGAATTTAATGCATTAATATCCATTTCTACTAATGTAAATTAACTTTAATCTTGGTTTAATTTACTTTTATCTTCTTCTAGTTCTAAGGCCCAGTTTCACAAGTGTCGGTTAACTTTTAATCTTAAATTAACTCACTTTTCGTCTCCTTCTAATGTCCCCCTTAGACAGAGATAAAGAGTGAGTTAATCTAAGATTCAAAGTTAACTGACACTTGTGAAACTGAGCTTAAGAATTAGAAAGAAATAAAAAGTAAGTTAAACTGAGATTAAAATTAATCTACATTGGTAGAGATGGACACAAATGTGGTATAAGAATTCAAATATTTCTTTTATGAATATGATACAGACAAAATTGCATTTCAATTGTTTGTCGATGACATTATAAATACCGATCAAATGACAGGCTGATAGAAATTTTCGTAGATATCTTTCAGATTGTTCAGCGAACCTTTTTCGGATTATTTGTCTACATCACGCGACACTGCATGCTTGATTATCGAATACTATACGTACATAAGTACCACCAATGTACTAGAGAGGATAACATCTGTTGCACCTGGTTATCACACCGGTCGAATAGCAGCAGTGAGACGGTATCGATAAATTACGACCAAGAATCATAATATCGTTTGCTATAAACGAATAATTGACCAATGACCATACATATTATTATACACATTAAACACTTTAGTTGTATTGGCAATGAGTTTAAAGGTTGTCCGATTTGTTAACATAAACGACAAATTTAAACAGCAAATATATTCTATGTTCTATGACTTACGAAGCTCTTTGTTTATAGTCATCTCTTTTCTTGAAAAATTTCGAGTCACTTTTATTATTGAATTTTTTATTGAATCAATACAGAATTCCAGAATTATTATATCAATTTATTATAAAAAATTCATAATAAATTTAACTTTCTCTTATTTCCATTTGATGTCTAACTACATTATTAACGTATGCCACGAATAAATCTGCAAGAATTGAAATTTAAATGCCAATGGATTTATTGAATATGTTAAAACTAAAAAAAATATTTTATTTTTATATTTCAATCTTTTTTATCCTGATTTGATTGGAAACCAAGGATTTCAACATCTAAATTATACGCTATCAAACTTTATAAAGTTTCATAAGGTGTTTTCCTCTTATTATTGGTAGGTACGAACAGAGAAGTAACATAAATAGCAGCAAATGCAAGACTCAAAACCGCATTTCTCGTAAGAGTGATTACGTACGATATTACATCGATGCGAACACAGTTTGTAAAGTCTCGCGCAATGTTTCTTGCCGCGGGAGAAATTTCTCAGGGCGGGTCTATTGGGTTCCGTTACTGTGCGGTTAAGTCTCGGATGGCTTCGGAACTTGCTGCACGTCAATCGTGACGACAAAGCGAAGCCGTACCTGTGTCCGCATTCTAGAAATTCTCACGAAGGCCGAGACAAAAGAGCATAAAAACGCCCGAGAAAGATAGACATTGCATGAATTGTAGCCTTGTAAAGCCTTGTAAAAGTACTACAAAATTTGTCCTTTTCTCATCTAATTGTTATATTTGAGAAGGTAGATATATTTTTAAAATGTAAAAATATTAAAAGACGTTTATAACTTTTTTTAAATACGGTACAAGATTTCTTTAGATAATTTCAATGTGTATGTAGTAAAATGCCTCACATAATTATTTATATTATATAATTATAATTTATGTAATCAAAATAAAAAAGAGAAATGAAAAGTACATTAAGCTAAATTTAGCCGACGTTAGCGAAACTAGGCGCCTGTTTGTGGTCTATAATTTGTGCGATTAAGAAATATCACTCCTATCGTAATCGACAATTACTTTGCGATTTAATTAACTGTAGAAAATTGTACGGCGGTTCTCATAAACAGGCGTAATTCTCTGCGTTGAGTTGGCGTTGAGTCTTACTTGCAAATGTTAACCTTTCAGAAGAGATATTATTTCCTCGACAGAAAATTGCCTTACGAAAGTTCAATGTACTTTCCTCATTCTCAACGTAAAACAATGAAACTATTTAGAAATTTTTTATCTGGTAATACACGGAGAAAATTTTATATTAAATTTTACTATGCTGTCGCAC